TTAAAAATATATTTTCCTCATAAAATTGACCCTAACTGATTTTAAAAGGGAAGTAAATAATAGGAATTATAAGGCTAAAAATGTGATATTGATGAAGAAACTGAAAGGTGTATTTAGGGGAATCTCATTTTATTGAAGGCTAATTACCCAGGAACAGCAGATTTTTTTATAAATATATTTGTATGAGGTAGTTACATCATTGTGTGTTTTTATTAAAATGTTTTATACACAACAAAAAACACACAGTAAGAGAGTTCGGTATATCTGTATGTATTTTTATATGTGGTTTTCAAGATTTGACACAAAGATTGAATATTGTTTTTTTATACAACACAAATAGCTATAACTACAAAAAAAAACATACTGTCTTATATCTAAGGCCAGTGCTATTTGATGTCTTGTTGTGTTTTTTTGATTGACTGATGGATTTAACATCTGACACTGCATTGGCAATATTTTGGCTACAGCAACTTTTTTCTGGGTCAATTTTCCAAGTTTTTATGATAATGTTGTTTTTTATTTTGTGAAGGTTGATTTTAGTTATTTTAAAAACAGGAATCAACAAAGTAAAAGTTTTGCAACAAAATATAAGCAAACATAATCCCAAAATATCCTATTTATTTAAAAAGCATTTCATTTCATTTAAAAAAAAAATAAGGCATGAAATATGAAACTTGATTGGACTCACTCTATTATAAATGATATGAAAAGAACATAATTTTTTTTGTATGATTAAAACATCATTTTTCAAACTCACAAACATTACAAGCTGAAACTAAAGTCAAACAGAATGACGACTTTTAAAGTATACTACTCAAAAGAAGTTAAGGATCACCCGATTCTTTCATAATGGTAAAGTAAATCTGTCATGACATGACAGATTAACTATAGTAATATGAAAGAATCAGGTGATCCTTAACTTCTTTTGAGTAGTATATATGCAGGCTCCCAGCCTTTGTAATTCCTTGTGAAGAATCTATCGACAGTTGACAGGTTAGATTCTCAATAAGGTGTGAAGTCTATATTATGCTATGTTTAGACATGGCTGGGACAGGTCATATAAACGAACCACACCACAACATAAACACCGATCAGCTAGGAGCCAATTAGACTCAACGTTGCTCAACCAGACCTCCCACGTGGCGCCATACAAACAAACCCAGTTTAAGGATTGTTTACACTTACACTCCTATGCAAATGAGGTCTGAGGGACATTCATCAGATTTTTTTATCTTTTTTTCCTTAAATTTTGATTGTAGGATTAATGTTTGGGTAATTATGAGTGTTTTTTTTAAATAAAGAAATACAAAATTCAGATTGGTCAGCCAAAAAGATTAATTAATAATTTTTCCCATTTCAAATATATTTTTTCTTGCTTTTCATCATATTTCGTTGTGTGTTGAAGATTTTATGATAAATTTTTAACTTCTTTTAATTATAGCATCTTATAAAATGTACAGTGATTTTTATATTTTTGGAGTCAGCAGATTTGTGAATTAAGTTTAAAAAAAATGTATTTTGGGGAGATACTTGATTTTTCTGTCTGAAAATCTTAGGTACAAAAACATGAAGATTTGTTTTGTTACATTGTGTCTCTAATTCAAAGGAGTATTTATTCTCTGAATCTGAAATTATTCAGACTTGTTTGGGAAATTTCAGCCGTTTTTGTTTCTTGTTTACACTGCAATCAGCAGTATTCCAGCTACAGGAATAAATAAATAAATAGTCTGGACGAGAAAATCCAATGACGTGCATGCGTGCGTGCGTGCGTGCGTGCGTGCGTGCGTGCGTGCGTGTGTGGCTACTATTACTAGTCCAGAGTGATGCCGATTTATAGTGCTAGCCCACTGAGATCCTGTAAGAGTGAATATTATCCTACCCTATTTTTTATCCCATTGAGGAAATTCTCAGGAAGATTCTCCCTAGTGAATTTGAACCCATACCATAATCCTATCCTATCCTATACTCTAGAGTAAAACTTACCCCGGGATAATATTTAGGTAGGATATAATCCTTGCTTACAATACCATGTCACAGTTTAACATGAATACCCCACTCACAGCACACAGACTCCTAGCCGACCAGTCCTTGTTTTAGACCCTGAATGCCAAGCGCCAGACAGGGTAACAACAAGTACCATCTTTTAATGTCTTTTGGTATGACGAGGCCGGGGATCCAACCCCGGACCTTCTGCTCTCTGGGTGGACGCTCTACCACTTGACCATGGAGGCGGTCTAACCTCAACCATACAAAGTGTGTCCTGATTAAAGGAATTAATTAGCTCGACATATGCCTAGAGAATAGACTATCATGACTATTGATCCGAGGTCTTTGCAGCCAAGTGAATGGGATACCTTCTTGTAACCCCTGGAGGCAAATCTCGTCTCGGTTAATTTTGTGTGATATTGTTTCCGTTGTCAGTATGCTGAATGTGTTCACTGCGCAAGATAAAGGCTTTCTGACTAGTCGGTTATAGTGTAACAAGAGTTTTGATTGGGTAATATCGGCCTGAAGATCAAAGCCAGCTGGTTGCGCTGATGTTGTTGTTAGGAATTGTGGTTAATCAGGTATGGAGACTTGCATGCGGGATGAGTTGATTGAGATGGGAGCGAGATGGTCTTAAATGTTGTAGGATTAGCGCAGACTGTTCACACAAACGTGATATTTTTGCTGTGTGTATCTGAGTTTATTCTGGCCTGTGTATTTATGGTTACGCTAGCTGGTAATTTTAATGATATAATGATAACGTGTACTTCTACAGCACTGGCCTCCAAACACAACACAATACTCAAAGCGCTAACATCATGACCATGGTCAGTGGATCAGTGTACACTCGATTATCATTCTCAGCTCCCTGGGGAGTATACAACCTGTGTATTCATGGTTACGCTAGCTGGTCATTTTAATAATATAATGATAACGTGTACTTCTACAGCACTTGCTCCAAACACAACACAATACTCAAAGCGCTAACATCATGACCATGGTCAGTGGATCAGTGTACACTCGATTATCATTCTCAGCTCCCTGGGGAGTATACAACCCAACCTGCCTGTGAGGCGCTAGAAGGTTAACTGCCATTTCCATCTCATCCTACCGGGTACCCATACACTGATGGGTGAACAGAGGCACATTTCAACGAAGGTGACACCACATATCTGGAGGATCCGTGAAGATTCCGGGTTAGAATAGGTCTTCAACAACCCATGCTTGCCGTAAAAGGCGATTATGCTTGTCGTAGGAGCCGACTAATGGGATCGGGTGGTCAGGCTCGCTGACTTGGCTGATGCATGTCATCGATCCCAGTTGCGTGGATCGATGCTCATGATGTCAATCTCTGGATTGTCTGGTCCAGACTCGATTATTTACAGACCGCCATCATAAAGCTGGAATATTTCTGAGTGCGGCGTTAAACAAGAAGCAAACAAACAAACATATCTGGAGCTCTTGCTTTGGAAGCAATGACATGCTAACAGAAATGTATTCCGAGATTAAAAACCTGGCATTCTCTTTAATGGCATTAACTGGCGCTTTCTTGCATGGAATCAGCTCTGGAGATTCTCTTCCTAGTTTCTTCAACTTTCATTCTTGGAAAAAAGTTCTCTTCTAAAGTTATTTGATCAAATTAAGGTCAGAATTCTGCTGACTTGGCAGCATTGACACTCAATTAAGTTATCATAACAGGTGCATATTTTTCAAAGTCAAGCAAATATATAGCATTCTTGCATTATCAGTGCAATTTAAAATTTGCTAATCCTCAATTTGAGGCCAACCAGCTCCAAAATACCATTCCGAATAAGAGAAGGTGTTTCCGACGTTGTCAATGAATGGAAGTCCGCCAGATAGACTGGCATTCCAGGGAGATGATCGTGTGATACGTTCTGTACGTGTATCTACATGTAGCCCTTCCCTCCCGTGACTGCCCCTGCATATCACTGACTGCACGTGTATCTACATGCAGCCCTTCCCTCCCGTGACTGCCCCTGCATATCACTGACTGTACGTGTATCTACATGCAGCCCTTCCCTCCCGTGACTGCCCCTGCATATCACTGACTGCACGTGTATCTACATGCAGCCCTTCCCTCCCGTGACTGCCCCTGCATATCACTGACTGCACGTGTATCTACATGAAGCCCTTCCCTCCCGTGACTGCCCCTGCATATCACTGACTGCACGTGTATCTACATGTAGCCCTCTCCTCCCGAGACTGCCCCTGCATATCACAGACTGCACGTGTATCTACATGTAGCCCTCTTCTCCCGTGACTGCCCCTGCATATCACTGACTGCACGTGTATCTACATGTAGCCCTTCCCTCCCGAGACTGCCCCTGCATATCACTGACTGCACGTGTATCTACATGTAGCCCTCTCCTCCCGAGACTGCCCCTGCATATCACTGACTGCACGTGTATCTACATGTAGCCCTCTCCTCCCGAGACTGCCCCTGCATATCACTGACTGCACGTGTATCTACATGTAGCCCTCTCCTCCCGTGACTGCCCCTGCATATCACTGACTGCACGTGTATCTACATGTAGCCCTCTCCTCCCGAGACTGCCCCTGCATATCACTGACTGCACGTGTATCTACATGTAGCCCTCTCCTCCCGTGACTGCCCCTGCATATCACTGACTGCATGTGTTGTGGCAGTGGTTGTTACCTGCCGATGAATACAGAACATGGAGGTCTGAACCCGACCCGCTTCCTCCACCGTACATGAGGTCAGCAGGTCTGGGATGTGTTGGGTCTGAACCTGACCCTGTCCCTGTACATGAGGTCAGCAGGTCTGGGATGTGTTGGGTCTGAACCTGACCCTGTCCCTGTACATGAGGTCAGCAGGTCTGGGATGTGTTGGGTCTGAACCTGACCCTGTCCCTGTACATGAGGTCAGCAGGTCTGGGATGTGTTGGGTCTGAACCTGACCCTGTCCCTGTACATGAGGTCAGCAGGTCTGGGATGTGTTGGGTCTGAACCTGACCCTGTCCCTGTACATGAGGTCAGCAGGTCTGGGATGTGTTTGGTCTGAACTTGACCCTGTCTCTGTACATGAGGTCAGCAGGTTTGGGATGTGTTGGGTCTGAACCTGACCCTGTCTCTGTACATGGGGTCAGCAGGTTTGGGATGTGTGGGGATCTGAAGCTGACCCTGTCTCTGTACATGGGGTCAGCAGGTTTGGGATGTGTGGGGATCTGAAGCTGACCCTGTCTCTGTACATGGGGTCAGCAGGTTTGGGATGTGTTGGGTCTGAACCTGACCCTGTCCCTGTACATGAGGTCAGCAGGTTTGGGATGTGTTGGGTCTGAACCTGACCCTGTCTCTGTACATGAGGTCAGCAGGTTTGGGATGTGTTGGGTCTGAACCTGACCCTGTCTCTGTACATGAGGTCAGCAGGTTTGGGATGTGTTGGGTCTGAACCTGACCCTGTCTCTGTACATGAGGTCAGCAGGTTTGGGATGTGTTGGGTCTGAACCTGACCCTGTCTCTGTACATGAGGTCAGCAGGTTTGGGATGTGTTGGGTCTGAACCTGACCCTGTCTCTGTACATGGGGTCAGCAGGTTTGGGATGTGTTGGGTCTGAACCTGACCCTGTCTCTGTACATGGGGTCAGCAGGTTTGGGATGTGTTGGGTCTGAACCTGACCCTGTCTCTGTACATGAGGTCAGCAGGTTTGGGATGTGTTGGGTCTGAACCTGACCCTGTCTCTGTACATGGGGTCAGCAGGTTTGGGATGTGTTGGGTCTGAACCTGACCCTGTCTCTGTACATGAGGTCAGTAGGTCTGGGATGTGTTGGGTCTGAAGCTGACCCTGTCCCCCTACATGGGGTCAACAGGTTTGGGATGGGTTGGGTCTGAACCTGACCCTGTCTCTGTACATGGGGTCAGCAGGTTTGGGATGTGTGGGGATCTGAAGCTGACCCTGTCTCTGTACATGGGGTCAGCAGGTTTGGGATGTGTTGGGTCTGAACCTGTCCCTGTCTCTGTACATGGGGTCAGCAGGTTTGGGATGTGTTGGGTCTGAACCTGACCCTGTCTCTGTACATGGGGTCAGCAGGTTTGGGATGTGTTGGGTCTGAACCTGACCCTGTCTCTGTACATGGGGTCAGCAGGTTCGGGATGTGTTGGGTCTGAACCTGACCCTGTCTCTGTACATGAGGTCAGCAGGTTTGGGATGTGTTGGGTCTGAACCTGACCCTGTCTCTGTACATGAGGTCAGCAGGTTTGGGATGTGTCGGGTCTGAAGCTGACCCTGTCTCTGTACATGGGGTCAGCAGGTTTGGGATGTGTGGGGATCTTAAGCTGACCCTGTCTCTGTACATGGGGTCAGCAGGTTTTGGATGTGTTGGGTCTGAACCTGACCCTGTCTCTGTACATGAGGTCAGCAGGTTTGGGATGTGTTGGGTCTGAACCTGACCCTGTCTCTGTACATGAGGTCAGCAGGTTTGGGATGTGTTGGGTCTGAACCCGACCCTGTCTCTGTCAATGGGGTCAGCAGGTCTGGGATGTGTGGGGATCTGAAGCTGACCCTGTCTCTGTACATCAGGTCAGCAGGTTTGGGATGTGTTGGGTCTGAACCTGACCCTGTCTCTGTACATGGGGTCAGCAGGTTTGGGATGTGTTGGGTCTGAACCTGACCCTGTCTATGTACATCAGGTCAGCAGGTTTGGGATGTGTTGGGTCTGAACCTGACCCTGTCTCTGTACATGGGGTCAGCAGGTCTGAGATGTGTGGGGGTCTGAATCTGTCCCTGTCTCTGTCAATGGGGTCAGCAGGTCTGGGATGTGTTGGGTCTGAATCTGTCCCTGTCTCTGTACATGAGGTCAGCAGGTTTGGGATGTGTTGGGTCTGAACCTGACCCTGTCTCTGTACATGAGGTCAGCAGGTTTGGGATGTGTGGGGGTCTGAACCTGACCCTGTCTCTGAACATGGGGTCAGCAGGTCTGAGATGTGTGGGGGTCTGAATCTGTCCCTGTCTCTGTCAATGGGGTCAGCAGGTCTGGGATGTGTGGGGATCTGAACCTGACCCTGTCTCTGTACATGGGGTCAGCAGGTCTGGGATGTGTGGGGGTCTGAATCTGTCCCTGTCTCTGTACATGGGGTCAGCTCGTCTGGGATGTGTCGGGTCTGAATCTGACCCTGTCTCTGTACATGGGGTCAGCAGGTCTGATATATGTGGGGGTCTGAATCTGTCCCTGTCTCTGTACATGGGGTCAGCAGGTCTTGGATGTGTGGAGGTCTGACCCTTTTTCTGTACATGGGGTCAGCAGGTCTGGGATGTGTGGGGTCTGAAGCTGACCCTGTCTCTGTACATGAGGTCAGCAGGTCTGGGATGTGTGGGGAACTGAATCTGTCCCTGTCTCTGTACATGGGGTCAGCAGGTCTGGGATGTGTGGGGGTCTGAAGCTGACCCTGTCTCTGTACATGATGTCAGCAGGTCTGGGATGTGTGGAGGTCTGAAGCTGACCCTGTCTCTGTACATGAGGTCAGCAGGTCTGGGATGTGTGGAGGTCTGAAGCTGACCCTGTCTCTGTACATGGGGTCCCAACAACTTACGAAAGAAAATGCCGCCTACTGTTAACCGTCATCTGTCATCCGGACGAAAATCACAAATTGGCAGCAAATAGAGAATCTCACCCGAGTGTCTTTTGATATCAAATATAAAAGTGGGAAAACTCCGAGGCTTGCCGAGGTTTTTTCCCACTTTTATCAACGAGTGTCGATATATTTGATATCAAAAGACACAAGGGTGAGATTTTATTTATCATCCAACATCATTCTTCCAACTTTTTCAGTTTGTAAAAAGTAATAAGCGGTGTCTTAAGTGTAAAAAGTACTGCTAACAGCTTCAGCAGCAGAGCCATTAGTCATGTCATTTGATTGTGATGACATGGTAACCAATGATGTCACAATGGTCTGCAAAGCATTGTGATGCAATTTCATTGCAGCGATATCTACAGTGTAGATATCGCTTGATCTCACCCAAGCGATATCTCCTGTGGGAGCCAGTTTTGGATGATAAAACCTTTTAACACCATAGTTCTAACATAAGCCATACCACAGATCTAAGTTTACCATCTCATATTTGGAACTTAGGCAACAGCAAATATAACTGTAAGATTTTGAACAGCGCAGAAAGTTACAAGTCAGTTCGTATGACATCCATTACTCAGGGGATGAAAGTTTGTCCTTCAGTGCAAGACAAACAAGTAATGAAACCAATTGTGAAACCTGCACAATGTGTTTACATGACCACGATTAACAAGTCACCCTCTTCTCTGACACATACAATCAGCTGGTAAGTCTCTCGGGATGTGCGGCATCCATCCATTCCTTAACCAGAGGTTATGATTGTCAGTATTTGCGTGGAATCTCTGTTCTCTGACAATTACACGCTCACACTGGTACTCTTCACAATGACTGCAAGATGGGAAACGTCCTAATTGGTGAACTTCTGGAGTTAAGTAACTGTATTCCTTACAAACAGCATCGATCACTCTAGATTCATATTCCGTAGTAAGCTTATGCCTGCATCAGCAACTCAGCAACTGCAACTGAAAGTGAACAGTTTCTTTGTTTGTTTGTTTGTTTTATGTCACAGTCAGCAATATTCCAGCTGTATGATGGCTGCCTGTTAATAATCAATTCTGTAAGACAATCCAGTGACTGATATTGTGAGCATTTGGGGTATGTCAACATGCCATCATCCAAGTCATCGAGTCAGAATACCTGATCCTTTAAGTCGATTTAAAAAACAACGAATACGATAAAATGCAATAACAGGGTCTTGTTTGTCATCAAAGGTTAACATTTAATAATAATAATAATAATAATAATAATAATAATAATAAGTGCATTTATAATGCGCCAGATTCAATTCACCAAGTGGATGCTCATAGCGCTACACTATCTAAAAAATATTCAAGTAATTATTGTTCGAAAAATTCATCTTTGAATATTTAAGGCACCATTAATTCAAAGATTTACTTTTTAGACCACATTGTATCAAATTTGTATTTTAAACTGTGCCACAATCTTTATTTTGATGATCCAAGCAATCTGCTTTCATTGGTGTTATCATTGGTAATTGCTACCAGCTTCAAATAATCTTGTTGATCCTCAGATCTTTTACAAAGCTTATCAAATATTCTTTAAATATTCTCCAAATCTGACAAAAATGGCGCTCAGTTGAATCAGAAACATGAAATGCCAGTTGAAGAAGGACTTTCCCAGGATCTTGGTACATCTGCTCTAAGTGGCCGAACTCTTATCTGAAAACACAGACAAAAACTTACGTCATTAGAAATCACGGGTTCGTAGCTGACATTTTTATCTCTTTATCAGTGTTTATATAGCCTTGCATCTGCTGTTGAAACCTCAACTCGGTACAAGATTCATAAAACATCAATCTGGAAGATACAGAGAACCGTTATAGAAGCTGGAAAAACTTAATGTTGAACTCGACAGACAACGTCTTCATTAGGCAGACCTGGGATCGAAGGAAGCCATTTCATACCAGTTTCAGAAAACGAATTGCTTGACTTGAAATATCACCACCAATTATCTCAGTTGTTCCCAATCCTCTGTCCAACCAATTATTTTATTTGTATGATGAATGTAAAGGTTTCTGTCTCCTAAGGTGAAGGTCAGTGATGTAACATTGTGAAGGTGAAGGTCATGCTAATTTGACTTAAAATGTGACTTTAAGAACATGGTGTTTGATTGGCTACTTTAGTAGATGATAAAACACTTACCATACCCCAGGTATTACATAAATCACTCCTAGCATCAAGTTACTTTTTTTAGATGAATTGGTTTGAGGTTAAATTTAGCTTTCGAGCAGAATCAGCTTTCTGACAAGTCCATATTTCATGTTCACTGCTAAACACATAAACACCCCAGCAACACCGCCATGATAATCTAGCTCCAATAATAGCCTCTTATTAAGGCCAATAAAATATTTTCTTGTTCTATTCTTAGCCAGGTGAGCTACACATTTGTTAAAAGTGAAATATTTGCTAAATTTTAGTCCACTACTCGATTGTACCCTAAAATTTATTTATATAAATTAATAATATATAAACTTTCTTATTAGAATTGTTTAGTAAGGTGTTTCCAATGGTTTACAAAGAGTGTTTTCTCTCAATTTAATTGTACATGAAAACCATGAAGGCACAATGCTATTCTGGTTATATCAACAAGAAACAAATCAGACAGGATGGCTACTACAGCAAGCTCCGTTATCAGAGAATAACAGCGCCTATATTTACCTAACTTCCCCATGATACATCATCCCTATGAAAACAGTGGATATCCTGGCTACAGTATGTGCAGTTATTCTTGACAGACAAAAAACGATTCAATCAGTCAGAGGCTTGATACTACAATCTGGTCATGGAGACAAAGTACTATTGTTGTTTTAGAAACAAAAGTATATATCAAAATATATATATTAAAATATTCAAACTGCTTTTAAACATCAGCTGATTTCACCAGTGAACAAGTTCTGATTCTTGAACTTTCACGGGTAAAAAAGGATTGATTAAATTTATAATTTGATAATTTCATAAAAAAATATTTTTTTTGTCTAAAATTATCAAAAGAGTGTTCAATGAAATAAGAATTGCATTCTGATTAAAATGAATTACCACACTTACTTAAAATATCAATGGAAAAGGAAAACAATGAAATAAACCCACCCTCCCAACCATATTGAGCTGCCATGCTTGTACTCCCTGTGAAGTGCTCTTCAACATTCTGGCTACTCGACCAGACAAACAACTAACAGATAGTTCTCTATCAGCCAACAAACACTTATGATGTAGTCCTAGGTGCTCCAATTGATCTATGGAAGGTTTTTACAGTAAATAGACTCTGAAAGCAAAGGGATATCAGATTAATTCAGGAATCTGACTTTTTCCCCAAATTGCAGCTGTCTTCAAGATGTGTGTGCTCTCAAAGAGCCTCTCCCTTTAAATGCCATTTTTTCAGTCTAAGGAGAGCATAAGAAATTGATGGTGACCGATCATGTCACAGACATCTAAGACCATCAACATGAAAGGTTTGGTAGTGGGATGACATTTAATTTCAGTCTTTAATTAGCTGAATTCATCTTAAATGAATTATTCTGTTTTGTAAATTACACTTTTTTGATTCAGGGTATGAATAGCTACACACAAATGTTTCAAAAGTTGAAATATTTCAGATGTGGAAAAATTGAAATATGTCGTAAAATTATAAAGGATATTTTAGACAACAGATCTAGACAAGTGACACCTAACCTGAGGCATCTCATACGTTGCCTCTTGAAATCCAAAAAAAAATTCATTATCTAGTCAGATTCTACAGTTGGCAGAGATTTCTGTTCATGCTCTGAAGGTACACATACATTTCCACATAGTCAGCTTCAATCTAGGGAACACTGCGATCTCTTCTTGACTGGGTAATTGGCATTGACTAAAACCCCTGGCAAGTGAGGTCTAATTGTATCGTATTACTCAAGGAAAATGTTAGAAATAATTACGCAAGTGATGAATTATTTTCTCCAAAGGTACCCTGTGACTCTAAACAAGTAGCCTCTAGAACTTCGTGTCTGAAACAGAAGCTCATTTTTAACCGTTAAATATTTTGGGCACTTTTTATGTAATTGTCCAGTGATATTTTATTTGGGCTCCATGGTTTAATATATTTAAGTTGTTTGTGTTTTTTTTATTAAGCAGTATCCAGGCTGTATGAAGGTAGTGTTTAAATAATCAAGTCTGGACCAGACAATCCAGGGATTGACACACAATCAAGCAAGTCACAGAGCCTGGCCACTCGATCCATGAAGATTTCTTCCTGCAACCTACCTGGTATTATAAACAGGAATTCCCCTGGCTTTGAAGATGCTGAGGAGACTCATGATGAAGATGCTCCAGTCTTATACACGAGGCTGGGGCGGATGTCACTCACTTTCACCCCAACACATCTTGAATCTACAACTCAACTTGTAACAATGATAATATACTGAAGATGATGATGATGATGATGATGGTGATGATGATGATGATGAAAGGCATTTAGGTGGTGTTGGTGTAAGTGATGATGATGATGATGATGATGATGATGATGATGATGATGAAAGGCATTTAGGTGGTGTTGGTGTAAGTGATGATGATGGTGATGATGATGATGATGATGATGAAAGGCATTTAGGTGGTGTTGGTGTAAGTGATGATGATGGTGATGATGATGATGATGATGATGATGATGATGATGAGGATGAAAGGCATTTAGGTGGTGTTGGTGTAAGTGATGATGATGGTGATGATGATGATGATGATGATGATGATGATGATGATGATGAGGATGAAAGGCATTTAGGTGGTGTT